CTGCTGACTCCAGAGGTTTGCAGTGTCCAGGGCAGCCTGGSTCCCMATGTGCACTTTGACCTAGGCCTGARGGAGAGAGCATGTTGCRGGTATSGACTCTTAAGTGCCAAAATCCTGCTGCAGTGAGGCTTGCTGCTTGTGGCAGAACCACTTGTTCATTGCCTTGCTGGGGCTGTTTGTCCAGCTCGTCTCTCTGTCCTGCTGGCTGGGCTCAGGGCAGGTGCAGAGAGAGAGCCCTGTGCCATGCAGGGCTCCTGCTGCTCCCCCTCGTGTCCCACCCTTGTGGCCAAGGCTGCCAGAGGGCCAGCACGACTTCTGTCCTGCACAGGCCCAGGGCAAGGGATGGCTCCTCACACCCTGGTGACGGGRCTCAGGGCAGTGTGAGGAGCTTTGGAGTGCCTTGTGCCCTCCAGGGGCTCACAGCTAGGCAGCTTGCCTTTGCAGGAGGCCATGAGCACAGCATCCACTTTTCTTTTTCAGATCAAATCCCTCGTCACTCATCTGAAGACTAAAATCTGGGCTTTGCTCTTTCTCAAAGCTGCAGGGGCAGAGTTTGTTGCCGGTTGAGGACCCCCAGGGCCCTAAAGTTATAATGCCATGCTGGAGCAGGAACCCATGTCTCATGGGCAGGCTGGTGGTGCTCTGCAGATGCCCAGGTCTGCAGCTGAGCAGGGACCAATTGGGATGTGCCCAGTGCTGCTGAGTGGGTGTGAACTGGGACAGATGGGGCAGGAGGTGGTGCCAGTACCTGCCTGCTGTGGTCAGGGAAGGAGGGTCTCCTCCCTGTGGTGCGGAAATGTGAGGAAGTGGCAGAACTTGAGGCCGAATTCCTGCTGCTCTGGATCCCTGGGGCTTTAATCTTCCAATGCCAGACAGTAGGAGAGCATGCACAGGGGCACAAGTCTGGCCATGCTGTCCCTGGCTGAGTGGCCTCTGCCAAGCCTTGGCCAAGTGGATGGTTCAGCTGTGCAGAGCTGTCTGGGCCTGCAATGCTGTGAATCAGGGAGAGGAGCAACCTCAGGAGGTGGCTTGTGGGACATGGGGGTCCAGTGCCTTTCCACAGAGCAGAGGGTTATTTTCCAGCCCTGCCACAGCTGGGGATCTTGTGAGGCAGGGGGACACATCTGCAACCCAGGGCTATGGCTCTGCTACCCTGCAACCCAACCACTGGATAGTGCTGGGCCAGATGCCATGATGCTCTGGCTGTAGGGTTGAGCTAAAATCTTTCCCAGTCACACATTTGTAGCCTGCCTGCTGAGCCAGGAGTCTGTGGATAGCGCTGTCCTGCTTCATCTTTGCCAGTCTCCTGTGCCATGAAATGAGCCTACCAAGTGCATGTTGTTTTGGTTCTTGCTGTTAATCCAGGCATTCTTGGAGGAACAGCCAGGTCTTCAGCAGTGCTTGGGATTGAGACTGGGGCTTGGCTTTTGTCATTGGTTTAGATCCTGGCTGAATGCCAAAACACCCACGATGGTTCCCCTCCCCCACCCCCTGAAGAGGCTGAGGGGAGAGCAAAAGCCCAATTAACACCAAAATTTATGGCTTTTTAGATAAAATAACATATTGACAGAAAGATTTATATGCTCCAAAAGATGTGGGTCAACAGGCTGGAAGACTTAAGTTGCAAAATAGATTTATTACTAAAAACTGCTAAGAGTACTACTGCACCAGGGGTGGGGGAGGAAACAAAGACAGAGGGGGAAAAAATTTACAAGGAAGGAAAAAAATCCGGACATTTTAAGACACCTCTTATTCTCTCTGTGAACCTGTTTCTCTCCCAGTTGATCCCCCCACCCTACCCCTCCATTGGCTTCCTGCGTGCAAAGGGGGCAGGGGATGAGAGTTTTATGGCCAATCTATTTCTAAACCGTTGCCATCCAGCACCATAGGAGAAGAGTTCTTACAGCTCCAAGCTGTGGAGATTCTTTGCCCAAGAACAGTCAGTGTATAACTGCTGATGGAAAGGGATTCTTTTTCTTTACCTCATGGGAAAAAGGGAGACAGTCCTCCAAGGCTGACTGCTTCAGTCTGAAGGCAAGGCCACTCTCAAATCTCCTGGCAGAACACAGTTTCTTCTAAGCATCAACTCACTCCAGAGGCAGGGGGGCCACCTCTTTCCTCTTTTTGGCTTACAATCAGTCCAGTCCTCCAAGGCCAGGTTTTTTATCTCGGGTGCAGGGCCTCTCTTTTCTACACAGGTCTCCCATTGAAGAAATAGTCCTTTCGAGAACAGCTTGTTTTCTTCATGTTCGAGCACCACAGCAATAGCACCTGTCTTCTCCTTTGACTCTCTTTGACTTTGTGTCTCCATTTTTTTCTCACATCTCCTCACCCTCCTCCTCTGTCCTCCCCCAGTGCAGGAGATGATACTAACAACCTAAGACTAATGGCGTCCACACTCTATCTTGTTTTGAATTCTTCTCAAGTACAAGATCATACGTTATCACAGAGGTGTAACCAACCTGTGCAATTGGCCCAGGCCTGATGGGCAGCCTGTCCATCAACCTCAGAGCCATAGTGGATTGACTCTAAAACACATGGGTAGGGCTCATGCCCTTTTTGCTGGAGAAGAAGGAGAAAGCTTCTAGAACTTTCTCGCAGGAGCCATCTTTGTGGTTTCTTGGTCCTATACCCCCACCACCAAGAAACTGGACTGAGCAAAACCAGGACAGCCATGCACAGGAGAGACCCACTGATACGAGTAGCAGGCCCTGTGTTCTCCAGGGAGGGATGCCTGGTGGATTGTGGGACTGGGTGTCCTCACGAATGCTCATCCTGCCATTACTGCCGGTGGTTTCCTGTGCRTGTCCTCACTTGGCACCTTTGGTGCTCAGCCCCTGCACCAGGCATCACGCCCCAGGAAGAAGCGTGTAGAGGACAAGCCACTGAAGGCTAAACAGGAGTGGGAGACCAGGGGCTGTGCTTGATGGTGACTTGGGCAGATGGATTTGGCCAGTCCCAAAYCCACTGGTGTTTCCCAAGCTGCTCTTGGTTTAGGGCTCAGGTCAACACTAGGCTGCACCGCTGTGAACAGGATGGTGGAGGCTGGGAGACAGACCTTCTTCATGGTGGTGGCATCACCATCCTGAAGTAGTGTCAGGAACTGTCTTAAAATAAAACCCTTCGTGCCTCAGTGGGAAGTACTTAGGAGGTCACAGAGCAAGAGGGGCCCCCAAGGTGCAAAGCATAGGATCACAGCCCTTTCTCAGCCTTCTCTGGTCACACCTGGGTAATTGCACAAGAGAGGTACATGGACGCTGTTGTGGGAAAGGCGCCAGCCCTGCAAAGGTGGAGGTGCAGGAAGTGCCATCAAAGGCTTGTGAGGCCTTTGGACCCTGGGCAGGGGTCAGGCACTGTGCCCATGGCAGGGCTGTGCCAGTCTCACCTGCACCACTCCCAGTGCTGTTGTGTTGAGGTGGAATTCACAGTGACACATTGCCAACAGAGAGCATGTTTTGCCAAAAATGTGGTGGATGGGGAAAGTCTTTTGTGGTAARTGGTGGATGGGGAAAGAGCATGCCACTGCCTTAGGAGGGCAGTGATTGGGAATTGATGTGGRACATTAGGTGTGGGACAGAGGATGTAGGGAAGGAGACTGGAGTGGACCAGGTGAAATAGGACACCCACGGTGGTGTGGGGAGAGCAGGGGGTGTGCAGATGCACAGGCAAGATAACCATGGGGGAAGGRTAGGCACAGCACCCCAGGGAAGCCATGCTGAAGGAGGAGGCTGGGACATGGCCCGGTGAAAGGGCTGTGGAGAGCAGGAGCAGAGGGCAAGAGGGTTTGAGTGTCAAGATATCTTGGGGTTTGTCAGGGAAGGCACAAGAGGGCCTAACATGGGTTGGAGGCAGCTCTGTCCAAGGGGCAGAGGTGGGTGTGTCTGCCAGCACAGAGGCCATAGAGGACAGATCAGCAGTGTGRAATGGGGAGCAAGGTCAAGGTGCAAACAGAGCAAAATCACTGTGGAGGTATTAGGGGAACATCTGTCTCTCATAGTGCACATGCAGTACGCCTCAGGTCTTACCCGATGATGGCTGGCAGCAGGTACATGGAAGAAGGGCACAATATAGGGTCAGATTCCTGGGGACTGTGATCCCTTAGAAAACCTAGAAGCTCAGCTGGTTTAATATCCTTTCCATTACCTTTTCCTCAGAGCTCACAAACATGGCCTGACAGCAGGTTGTTGTTGTTACACTGTAGGATGTACYCTGGGAACTGGGGTGTTGCAGTGGGCACGTTGGGTTGTGGTGGATCCCGAGCACTGCCATGGGTCAGAGGATCCTCCCAGCAGAGCAGGGTTTCACAGCTGAGAGAGCTGAGCAGGGACAGTCAGTGTGGCCAAGGGAACCAGATCCAAGTGCATCTGGACAAGGTTGKGTGGAGGCTTGGCAGGTTGTGTGGGAACCTAAGCTGTGAGCTGAGGATGGCACCCCCATACACCTCCCATAGACCTCATAGGTTTTTCTACAAAATAAACACACATTTAGAAACTTAAATTTAAAAAAAATAGCCTTGTCTGGAAGGACTGTTAGCATAGTTGGATATGAAAATAATCCCAAGTATCTGAAAGCAGATACTTGGGATTATTTTCTGTTTTAATGCTTGGGTGTTCCAGAATAGTTGCTTGTCTTCAACTAATTCTTCTGAGTGCCATGCTATCTGCTATGCCTTGAGAAGCACAGGTCATGTCCTATCTCAGTGCTGCTGATACCAGACAGATTATAGTCTTATGAACTCATTTAATCTCATTGTTCAGCTCTTTGTGATTTATGAATTCATTATTTKTGTAACAACATTTTTTCTAGGGTAACAATGTAGCAAACGTGTACCAACGTTTCAGCAAGGGGGATCTYCAGGACAAAATAACATGCTGGTATAACTGTTGGGGAATCTTCACACCCTTGGAGACTAACAATCTGTTATTTGGGTAGACATATGAGGTACTTCAGTTATTACAATTCTTAAATAATTGCATGTATTTGTATCTTTCTTCTTTTAGGGAGACTCCTACCCACTGGCAGCCTCTGCCAGGCACAAAAGCAGCCATGTTGGTCAAAGTGAACAGTTTGAGGCAGATTCAGAGCTTTTCCAGTAGTTCGCTTCATTTGCAGGGTGCTCCAGAGCCCAACAGCCCAAAATCTCTTCCCAAACTATCCATATATGCTCAGCCTCAATCCATGTCCCAGAGCTCTGGAGCCACAAAGCAAATGCCTTCTGGAGAAACAAAGCAGTCTATGCAGATCAAAAAGACCGAGAGTGGTGGGTTTTGCCTGGTGCTGATGAATGGTCCTGCTTCTCAGACACCTCCAAGGAGCCAGACAGGAACCCCTGAGCCTACATCCCCCAAGTACGCCTCTCCTGCACCTATTTACGATGAGCCATCTTTAGAGTCACCAATTTATGATGAGCCACCAGTAGATATGGACACTGAAAGTATTGGTGTGAATGGGATGTCTCCACCAAGGTCACCAAGCAATAGCTTAAAAAAGCAGCTGCAACCAACCAAATTATTGCAGCATCCTAGTATGCAACAACAACAAGCTGCAAAGAAGCATGCAAGAAATCCCTCTTCCACTGAATACAGCCCTGCTGGCAGAGAGTACATAAAACATATGGTCAGTGTTGACCAATCTGCTAAATTCTCCCACTCTTCTSCTGCAACAACTGATGACTCCACTAAACTGCCTGGTCAGCTTGCTTCAAAGGACAGCTTCAAGCAGTCTTGGAGGATCTTGGAAGCCAATGTTCTCAAGAACATGGAACTCCACCACAGTCGTCAAAACAGCCTGCAGATTCAGGAGTACCCAACCAGTATAAGCCATCAGGATTCTGGTTATTCAACTGGCCCTTCTCCAAGCTTGAGAAGAAGGAAAGGAAGGAGGCAAGGAACAGGTCAAGCAAGACCTGGCTCTGTAGGYAGCAGCAGTGAGCTCACAGCTCTGAATGATAAAGTGATTGCTGAGATGCGTGCTGTGGTGGGCAGGTCAGCAGCTTGCAGGGGAAGCAGAGTCAGCCTGGATGCTGAGAGCCTGGAGAGCAGTGTCCTGGCAGASAACAGCAAGGTCAGGTTTCAGTCTGACCACTTGAAAAAATGCATCAGCCGGAGCTCCAGGGATGATGTCTCAGCCAGCAACAGGTCTTTGTACAGACAGGATCTGGAGATCAGGGAAGGCTTTCCCAGCGATGTGACTGCTCCACAGGACACAGTAAGGCAGAAGAGAACGTTTGAGAAAATAGATTCTTTAGAAAAGAATGTGACCAGACAGACAAGCTTGGCTTCATCGGGTGCTGCGCGCCGCTCTTCACAGGTACCTCCCCATCCATATCATGTTAGACTGTGTGCCTTTGCTAGACTGTTCTCATGCCAAGCCTGCTCCTGGGGGGATTTAGTTCCAGGGGTGTGCTCCAGGCAAGACACATCTGTTCCTGCAGAATTGCTAACAGGTCACAAAGCTTTGCAGCTTTGCAGGTGGAAACCCTATTTCAGGCCAGTGGTTTGAGAGGAGGGAGAGTTGTGGGATGTGCCTCGTGTCCAGCAAACCCCCAGCACTGCAGGTAGCTCCACTGTTACTGGGTAAATGTGCTTTCCTCTTGCTTACTGTCACTCATGTATACGTGGGTAAGCCTTGCCCTCATATACACTYTCTTCCCTGGAATGGTCTGAGTTGGTGGGTACAGGACACAGGTGTCAGGATTTGCATGACCACATGACAGCAATTCTTCTTTTTCWCTCTCTCCTTTTTCTAATGATTCTTCATAAGCTGTTCTCCCTCCCAGTTCCTGAACATTAAATAGCAACATTTAGAAAACCAGTATGTGTCTGCCATCTTGTTGGAAATACCTGTTTTAAAGCCCATTAGTGTGCCTGCACAAAGGGAACAGTTTTTCTCTAAAACAGCACTTGTGCAGAATTCAGTTTGCCATCTTTTCTCCTATTTGTATTTGAAGAAACCTCCTGCTTCCTGGTTTTAGTTCAGATTTAGGTTCTTTGTAGATTGTTTTACATCTGCTGAAGCTTTTGCCCTTTTTCTCTTTGCTCACTCTTCCAGTTATTTTGCTGTTGCTGAACAACCAGAGTTCTACATCAATTTGATAAGGCGGAGCTGATAACCATCTTCCATGCTGAAAAGTGAAAAGTGGCTTTTTTTTTTCTCTCTTTTTTCTTCTGTTTGCTGGTACAGTCTTTCATGAAGAAACTTGGCAAAGCTCCTTGACCATTCCAGATTGTTCCACAGACCTGCAAGGTGTAACTTTTCTTTGAAAGCCAGGCTGACACCTCTCAATCAGATTTATCTCTGTGTGTTCTCTTTATTGCATTTTAGATCAGTTAAATGCTTTGCTTTCATCTGGAACCTTTTGGAGAACTGATATAATGTTCCCACATTTCCTATTTTTCACACACTGAGACACATCAAGTTTACATGACTTACACATTATGAATTTCATTTCACAGCCTCTTTAGACATGGTAGGAAACTGCTCTCTGGTCTTCTGGCTGTGTTACACCTTGTTGCATTGACAGGGAGAGCTGAAACTTGATGTCTTGATTATGCACAAGAGATGTTGAGGGTTGAGGATAGGCTGTGAATGGCCTTGAAAGTGAAGAAAAATAATTCATGTGTGGTAATATGGAGAAACAGAAGATGTAAGGAGATGGATGTTGTGGTAAAGGCAAAAGAAGTCAATAAATGAAAAAAAAAGCATGGAAATATTCAAAATCCAAGTAAGGAGGGGAGGAGGTTGCAGAGAATATGTCAGCAAAATCACTGCCTCACCTGGAAATGGCATCGAGTGGCTTGAGTGAGCAGTTATTATGTTCTGTGCTGGGCTTGTATGATAGAGAGGAAAATCGGGAGACAAGGAAATTCAGTATCAGAGGAAGGTGGGCAGAAGTTCTGGAACTGGCTGAGCAGAGGTGGCTGTGTACTGTCCACACAAAGATAACAGCTGGGGAGGTGTATGAATGAGCTGTGAGAGAGAAACCTCAGAGAGAGCAGAGGAGAGAACCTGGAGCCTGCTGAACCTTGAGAGAGTATTTGGAGGGGACTCCTCAGAAGGAACATGCTGAAGGAGCAGGTAGGGTGAGAGGAGGAAAACCAACTCTGTGCAGGGGGGGTGGTTTGAAAGAGTCCAAGGACGCGTCAGACAGAGTGCAGGGACTTCTWGTCAGTGTGTTGAGTGAATTCAGAGGGGTTGAGGAGGTAGAGGAGTAACTCARGGGATAAAAAGAATAAAGTAGAAAAATAAGAGAAATTATTGTACCCCAGGCTGGCTATAAGAGGTGGAATGTGATATGTGCTAATCCCATCATCCACATGTAGGAACATCTGGGGTGTGAGACAGGGAAGGCTTGGACTGCACAAACCTGTGTCATGAATTCAGGAGTTCCTGTGTACTAAGAAGGAAACACTGACTTGCTCTAAACTTCTAAGAACTAATGTGTATTTTGGGGTTAACTGTAGACCAGGACCAGAATAGAGCGTGGCACACAAGTTAAAAGTCATCTTCAAAGAAGGAAAATACTTTTTCCATTCCAAACCCAAAATTTACAGCATGTGTTTTTTCTTTATCTTTCTTTCAAAACCAAAAAGCTCAAGATTATCTTGTTTGGCTTTTTCCTGCTTGCTGATGATCTTCTTGGAGAACACAGAATGAAATGTGGGCTTTTTAGCTGTTGCCTGCTCTTTCGAGTCTTACAAAAAGGTCTTTTTCCTAAAACAATTTGTTGGGTGTTTGAGTTCAATATACATCCCAGGCTGCCACTTCCATCCAAAACCAAGAATTCCATATGGGCAAAAGAAGCTTTTCTCACAAGCACTCATTACACACCATTTTCTTGGGACCAGTACTACTAAAGCTTTATTACATAGTTACCTGTAGCAGTTGCTGGGAGAGAAGGATGGCAAGGGCTGCATGTAAGAATTGTRGACAGAGTCTGAGAGGAAGGAAGGTGACTGTCACTGCTGCTGGTGTCTGTGATCAGTGGACAATTCTTATTTAATCTGGGGAAAGCTATGTCTGCCATGTGGGGTTTTCCTACAGGAAGACACAATAGGGAGCTTTGTCATAGAGGTGTTTGTGCATTCTGGTCAGAAGCACACTAGTCTGTAGCCACAGCCAGTACCTTCCCTATGGCTGCTGAGCACTGGGGCCAGTTCAGCAGGAGGTCATGGGGGGTTTGTGGGGTACAGTGAGATCTGGCAGCACCAGGGATGGCAGTTGACTGACACAGGTCTCCYTCACTTCACCAGCTCAAATATAATCTATCCCACATGAGTGATAGCTTTACCATCAAAATAGCTGTGCCTGTTCTCTGTGCTTCTCAGCTTCTGTCCTGTTTGTATTTCTCATTGGTCTTTCCATTAGGGAGGTCATGGTGAAATTGAGATACACNCTGTCCTGTTTGTATTTCTCATTGGTCTTTCCATTAGGGAGGTCATGGTGAAATTGAGATACACAATTTGAACACCTCTAATGCAAAGGTTGTCCAGGTGTGGGCTGCCCAAAGCTCAGCAGCTCCTGAGGGTTGCWTTGGTTTTGCTTGGTTGAGTTGGGGTTTTTTTTTGCTAGAATTTGGAAAAATAGTGAAGGTAGGAACTAGGTATGGGTTTGTAGGGACCACAGTGGGTAAGGGTGAGAAGGAAACAATGTTCATACTGCTGTGGCTGTCTAGTCTCTGCTACCTGCTGCTGTCCCACCCTCCTCCTGGGCTCCAGGAGTTCCATAGAAACTGAGGGTGAGTAGTGGGGAGTCACTTGGCTCCTCGGTGTGTRCTTGGTGCCACAGAGCTGTGCTGCTGCTCTGGATGTCAGCTCAGCTCCTGCATGRACTCTGTAACAGCTGGGACACTCAGCCCTGTCACTGCATGTCCCAGCACTTCCTTTAGGGACAGCACTACTGTATGGCTGTGCCAGGCTCTTGCTGAACTACAAATGTCATCTACCAATTCTACACCAAGTCATGTTTGTCCAGACTCACCACTGTGCCATTGCTGGTAGCTTCATGTCTCACTGTGGGTAATTTTCCTAGCTGGGGAAGGAGTCACRTAAGCTGCTTTTAACACTGTTCTCCTTTGCAGCCTGATAGCACAGAGCTGGAGCCCAAGCAGGAGGGCAGCAGCCAGCACGGTGCCTGTGTGGGATGCCATTTCCCTTACAACACACTACGAAAGCCCATCTCCCAGAGCAGCATGGCAGACTGGGCTTCCAAAAACCTGAACATGCACACGCAGGGCATCTTCCGCCGAAGGATCTCCATCTCCAACATGCTGTCCTGGAATGGCGGCTCCATCAAAAAACCAATGCTCATCACGAGCAATCGYACCATCAAAAAAGAGGCTTGTGAGCTGTTCAAACTGGTGCAGAGCTACATGGGAGATCGTCAGACTCGCATGGACCGCAATCACGTGGCGCTGGTGGCCGTCACCAAGTGCTGGAGCATGCAGGGCTTACGGGATGAGCTCTACATCCAGCTGATCCGCCAGACAACAGATAACATGTGCTACCGAAGCCTGGCCTGGGGCTGGGAACTGATGGCCATCAGCCTGGCCTTTTTCTCCCCRTCACCCAAATTTCAGTCTTACCTGGAAGGTTACATTTATCGCCACCTTGACAGTGATGAAAACAGTAAGTGCCTCATGCGCCTCCTCTGTACCCAGCAGCATCTTGGTGGGTTATACACATAGTCAGGGTTGTCTGGGTTTTAAAGTACAGGGAGTCCCCAGTCAGTGCTGTGGCCTCTGTCAGTGAGAGCAGAGTGTGTTGGCTTGAGTTCCTTCCCTTGGTGCCATGAAGCTGCCAAGCTTGTGTCTGGCAAGGAAATGCAAGCCACAGACTCTGTTCACCTCACCCATCAGCACTGAAATGAGCTGATGTCAACCTAAAGACAAAGCTTTTTTGGGTTCTCTGATGACAAAATTTGCTTCTAAGTTCCTTGAAGCAGGCCAAAGAAAAGGATTGTTAATATCTAACTTTTTAAGGGAGCCATTGCAAACACTGGGAACAGACCTTGGCTTACCATGGTTGGGTATCCTGAAGAATGCAAGCTTTTGGTGTGAAGAGATGCAATTTATCTGTCTTTCAGGAGTTTGGAGACCAGCCTAGCTTATATTCAATTATTACCCCAATTTTAAATTGCAATAGCATACTGTG